CTTGTCCCACCTACCACTCTCTTGCTTTGTACTACCACTACTACTTCTACTGTTACTTCCACTACCTGCCTTACCACTACCATCACTACTCTTCCCACATCTCTTGTTCCATCTCTGCCTGCTGGCCTATATATACTGGCTCCTCTCTTTGCTGTTAGTGTGACTTTGTAAATGATCCAAGTCAAACCAAAATATATGAAGTGATCACTCTGTGCTCCTTCCAATGGTAAAGGGCTCTTGATCCAAGGAATTAGTTCTTCACCCTTTCCTTTGATCAAACTTTACTGGCTTGTAACTTCAAAATGATTATCCAAATATTGTAACAATGACTGGTTTCTCCCAGCAGACTATGCTCCTCCCACGCCACCAGCAGGTACTGGGGTCCACAGGTACCTGTTTTACCTTTACCAAGACACAGTAGAAAAGGACACAGAGCTTCAGGCCATCACAAAGCGTGGTAAATTTAAACTGTATGAATACACCAAACAGAATGCTCTCTGTGGACCTGTGGCCCAAACTATGTTCTCCACTCATTATTGAGGGCAGCCAGGGTACTATCATCCTCCTTGGATCTCTTAGACACACAGGTGTGTCTGCCAGTAACTGAACACGCACTATAACTATTTCCTCTTTTAACATCCCTAAGAGTCAGTGTCCAAACCATCATGATCACATTGTTTAATGTTATTCTTGCTTACTTTTTGATACAATGTATTTAGAAATATTTTTCATTACTTAAGTATATATTTTATGCAGAATGCCATTCTTCACTATGATTTAATGTTGATTTTTCTTGTAATGGTGTAAACAAGCATTTACAAATGCATTATTTATTTTGTGTGTGGACATGCATGTGAATTTAATTGGCTGTGTTAACTGGATCTGAAGTAACCTAATGCTAAATATTGACAAGTAAACCGGTGTTAACATGTGCTTATGCAGCAGTATGTTAGCAGAGGGAAACTTGTATACCGCTAGCAACACTAGCTTGGTTGACCAGAAAATTGGTCTGAAGGTGAGGCTTCTAAGGTAGTAACAGTTCTGTGACCAGTCACACTCACTGGCCCAGGACCTAAGACTGAGGTGTTGTCAGTGCTCATATGTCAACCTGCAATGGATTTTACCTGAGTTTCAAAACCTTTTTTGTTAATTGGAATAGTATGTTATTTTTATAATGCACTTTACCTTCACTGTATTGGGAACTTTGATTTGTGTATTAACTCTAAATCATATTCTTGCCTGAATAAAATCTTGAACATTATCTAAGCTTTCATTTTTCATATTATTGTTAAGGTAGATATTTTTTATTCTCAATTCATCATTAAACCCCTAAACTTAACTTCATTATGTGTAGACCCTTAACCCTTTCAGGGTTGGTGCCATACTAGTACGGCTTGCACGCCAGGGTTGGTGCCATACTAGTACTCATAAATTCTAGCGCCTTCAAATGTAGAGAGAGAAAGCTGGTAGGCCTACATATGAAAGGATGCGTCTGTGGTCAGTGTGCGCAGTATAAAAAAAATCCTGCAGCACACAGTACATAATGACAAAAAAAAAAACTGACCGTGTTTTTGGTTTAAAACAGCAACTTTGCAGTGTATTTATGGTTGTATTATAGTTTTCCTGGTCTCATTTTATAGAATGGAAGACATGACAGAAATTGAGATGATTTTGATTGGTTTCACAAAGAAAAGTACCTTGAAATTGAGCTCAAAGTAGCAGAAATGTTCGATTTTTGCCAAAGTTCAAAAGTAAACAAATCATGCTATGTGTCCAATACATGTCAACTGGTGAGTGTAATATTCTTTCACAAGTGTGCTGATATTATTTATACCATTTCTACACAGATGCAGTAGTCTGCATAACAGTAAATCTTCTATTTTTTGTGAGAATAAAAATTCAAAGTGGAAAGCAAAGGAGATGTAAGAGAGGCCTGGGGACATGACTAATGAACAAAGGAAATGCTATTTTAGTTCCAGGAATGTCTGTTTTGTTTATTCTGGACCCCATTTGGAAATTGGCATCTTTTAAAATTTGTGTGAAATTGGCAAAATTGCCAATTTCTGACCACTGTATTGGATAGTTGAAATCCATAAATGGGTGGTTTCTTGTACTCATTCAATAGAAAAAATGAGTTCTAGCAAAATAGTTATGATTTGTGTCGACTGGTACATTGGAATTGGCTGAAAACAGGGCTTAAAGTGGGCGAAATCACTGATGCGCAAACATCGTCGAGACCGCTAACTTCGCGAGAGCATAATTCTGTAAGTTTTCCATCAAATTTCATACTTTTGGTATCATTATGATCAGAAAAAGATTATCTATCATTTCATAAGAAATTTTTTTTTTCCTCGAAAAATTTCCGACCCTGAGAACAAGTTTAGGAGAGGGCCTACCGACCCTGAAAAGGTTAATATTAAGAAGGCTTAGTCCTAGTTTAAACTTGCCTGAAATGCTATGCACATTCAGAACCTTCAGTTTTCCCCCTTAAAAGGAAGAGGGATCCCTTGACCTGGTGAAAGTGCTCTTGATCTGAATACTATTTCTGCATAATGAATTTCAGCTCCTAGGCAAAAGGAATAGTTATCAGCCCCTTCCCACCATGGACCTTGGTGGTGGTGCTGTTTGCTGTGGCAGTTACATTTTCTGGGAACATGTTGGGCCACCCTGCAGGTTCCGGTGGGTGATCTCAAGTATCCTTGAATGATGGAAGCATTACTGGAGGCTGGCCTTTGGATCTAGGGGTTTCAGCCAAAGGGGTATGACTCCCAGCTTTTCCAGTCATCCATCCCCCTTGTTGGCTGAGTCTGTCTCTGTTAATTCTAGAGGTGCCATTCTGGTGTACTGGGGATCCTGATATATCACGTTAGATAAGGGGTCGTATCCATGCAGTATCAGCACTACCGGCCTTACCCAGGGTGATCGTGGTTCTGAGCAGGTATACAGAACTGTTAAATGTTGATGAAGATAGGGAAGCTGTGATTTTGTGTATAGGGCAAGGAGGAATAACATCTTGTAGGAGTGAGGAAGAGCCAGTTGTGAGTGTGGGAGAAGTTCGTGAGGCAGTGGGTAGAATGAAAGCGGGTAAGGCAGCTGGGATTGATGGGATAAAGATAGAAACATTAAAATCAGGAGGGGATATAGTTTTGAGTGGTTGGTGCTATTATTTAATAAATGTATGGGAGAGGGTACCGTACCAAGGGATTGGCAGAGAGCATGCATAGGTCCTCTGTATAAAGGCAAAGGGGATAAAAGAGAGTGCAAAAATTATAGGGGGATAAGTCTGTTGAGTATATCTGGTAAAGTGTATGGTAGAGTTATTATTGAAAGAATTAAGAGTAAGACAGAGTAGGATAGCAGATGAACAAGGAGGCTTTAGGAAAGGTAGGGAGTGTATAGATCAAGTGTTTACAGTGAAACATATAGGTGAACAGTATTTAGATAAGGGTAAAGAGGTTTTTGTGGCATTTATGGATTTGGAAAAGGCATATGACAGGGTGGATGGGGCATTGTGGCAGATGTTGCAGGTGTATGGTATAGGAGGTAGGTTACTGAAAGCATTAAAGCATTGAAGAATTTTTACGAGGATAGAGAGGCTCAGGTTAGGGCATGTAGGAGAGAGGGAGATTATTTCCCAGTAAAAGTAGGCCTTCGACAAGGATGTGTGATGTCACCATGGTTGTTCAATATATTTATAGATGGGGTTGAGAGAGAAGTGAATGCTATGGTCTTGGCAAGAGGTGTGGAGTTAAAAGATAAAGAACCAAACACAAAGTGGGAGTTGTCACTGTTGCTCTTTGCTGATGACACTGTGCTCTTGGGAGATTTTGAAGAGAAGTTGCAGAAGTTGGTGGATGAATTTGGTAGGGTATGTAAAAGAAGAAAATTAAAAGTGAATATAGGAAAGAGTAAGGTTATGAGTATAAAAAGATTAGGTGACGAAAGATTGGATATCAGATTGGAGGGAGAGAGTATGGAGGAGGTGAATGTATTCAGATATTTAGGAGTGGATGTGTCAGCAGATGGGTCTATGAAGGATGAGGTGAATCACAGAATTGATGAGGGGAAAAGGGTGAGTGGTGCACTTAAGAGTCTGGAGACAAAAACTTTGACCTTGAAAGCAAAGAGGGGAATGTATGAGAGTATAGTTGTACCAACACACTTGTATGGGTGTGAAGCATGGGTGATGAATGTTGCAACGAGGAGAAGGCTGGAGGCAGTGGAGATGTCATGTCTGAGGGCGATGTGTGGTGTGAATAATAATGCAGAGAATTAGTAGTTTGGAAATTACGAGAAGGTGTGAGATTACCAAAACTATTATCCAGATGGCTGAGGAGGGTTGTTGAGATGGTTCAGGACATGTAGAGAGAATGGAACAAAACAGAATGACTTCGAGAGCGTATAAATCTGTTGTGGAGGGAAGGCGGGGTAGGGGTCGGCCTAGGAAGGGTTGGAGGGAGGGGGTAAAGGAGGTTCTGTGTGCGAAGGGGTTGGACTTCCAGTAAGTGTGCACGAGCGTTATGGAAAATTTTATAGGAGTGATTACTTGTACATACCTCAACATTACATGCATACGAGTAATCTCCTTGGGAGACAACAACGATATTGTTTACCGTAGTCACCCTGGGAGACAGTAATGGTGAAGCTGGAGGTGCTGTCCTGGGAGACAGAAATGGTGAAGCTGGAGATACTGTCCTGGGAGACAGAAATGGTGAAGCTGGAGGTGCTGTCCTGGGAGACAGAAATGGTGAAGCTGGAGATACTGTCCTTGGAGACAGTAATGTGAAGCTGGGGGGCTGTCCTGGGAGACAGAAATGGTGACAGCTGGAATACTGTCCTGGGAGAAGAAATGGTGAATCTGGAGCTTAAAAGTCCAGGGAGTCGGGAATTATACGCAGGAAGGAATACATTAAATGACCTCATAGGGGACAGGAGCCATAGTAGGGAAACCAAGTGTAGTCAAAGATAAGATAAAACCATTTTTTGCAAACTAGAATACCGCAGGAATAGCAAACAAGAGGACTCCAATAGCAATAGAGAGGATAAATTACCAAAACAACTGGTGGGAGCCATGTTGGTGCTAGGAGGATAGAGTAAGACAGGGAAACATGCACCAACAGGGAATACAGTCACAGAAACCCAAGCAAGCAAACCAAGCCTGTGCACATTACTATGCACTTGGTATCTGCTGCATTGGAAATCTGGAAAAACCAGATGGGACATCTAACTATGACCACCCCAGAAAATGCCATGCCCATATGAAAACAGGAAAATGCAAATCTCCCTTCCTGTCAGATCTTTTTCACCCTGAAAAGTTACCCTTCAGTACAGGAAAGACTGTGCTATAACTTAAATGCCAGGCTACCATCTAAGGGGACAAAACATACAAAACATCCAGGCCAGGGGAAAACCTGGGTAGCCACAGCCACTCAAGAGGGAGAGGTTTTTTAGTGCCAGAAGGAAAAAAAAAACTGCAGGAAATGGCAGAAATCGTAACACCCAAATCCAGTCATTCCTGGTGTGGAACCACAGACGATGGCCTCCCTCCAAACCAACAGATACAGATACTAATGCCGGAAAAAAAATCTCCCCCCCAGTACCAACAATACCACCAGTCCGATAACATTCTTTCTTTGCAAATATAAGGGGCAAAGCCAGCTACAAACAACAAAATACCTTTCAACCTGGACTGCTTGCAGAGGCAAAGGCAATGTTCGCGGCTTTCACAGAGGGCCCACAAAAAAGGATCATTGGACAACGAAGTATGGATCCCAGGTTACAACCTATACAGATGTACAGAGTGGGAACAGGCCAAAGGGGGGGGTTGGCCTGTACATGCAGAGTCACTTGTTTGCACAGAACGCTTAATGCCTCAAATGACGTAGGGAATTTTAGCAGTAAGGTCGAGAACCAAACCTAGTCATTGTGGTAGTCACAATCCTCCGGTGCAACATCCCAGCAATTCCAGGAACAGCTGTTAAAAATTGACAACTGTCTGGAAAAATCTTCCAGCTTTCCTGCACCCAACATCTTTCCTGGGGAATTTCAACTTCAAGGGCCTAAAAATGGAGGAATCATAGCAAAAAGATTTGTTGCAGAATTAATTCACCAGGTTGAGCAGCTCTGATGAAACTCAACTCATCGGTAAATCTCTGCCAAATTTCAAACGATAAAGCTCCAACAAACCGGGGAATAAAACAGCCCTAATTAACAAGTATGAATAAATACACCATTCAAAAACAATCTAAGTACCTTAAAATA